GCCAAAGTGACCTCAGGATGATAACGATACCCTCTTGGCATGATTCGATACATATCACGATACTGAACTCACGATACGATATTATTGCGGTATGTTGATTATAAATGCTAACTTATTACATTGTGGGTTTAAATGAATAGGTTTGGACTTTATGCTTGTAACCTTAGACGAATATGCTTCCACTCTGTCACTGACTAGATATGTTTAAATTAATGTTGGACACTTTTTACTGGTAACATTAGACATTTGGCATTATCAGGACCCACAAATATTCCCCCATTGCATTATTATACATTATAATCAACATTATGTAAAGTAGTTTAATGTAATACTGACACTAAAACTGTGAAAAATTAAAAAATTTTCCTCACACAGTAATTTTTATTTTGGGGAACTATCCATGATGCATATTGTTGCTATCCACGATACGTATTGTTGCATTTTTGCATTGCGATATATTGTGGCATGAATATATTGTTACACCCCTACATTACACAAATGTGTCTCCTGCATGAATGGCAGAGGGAGATAAATATTCTTTACATTTTTACAATCTGCTGTTTGTTGCTGTTCCTGCATATTATATTGTACATTGATGCATGATTAAGAGGGACTCGAATTTATGAGTATATTAAGTTAAAAGTTTCAATTAGTGAATAAATAATGAAGATTATGATTGCAACCAAGTTATCATTTTGATAACCAATAGGTCAAATCTCACAAATCAATACAACACTCAATTTTATTGTAGATGGTTTAACATCTAATACTGAAAGGTTCTTTGGGGAACCCACAATGTTTCATCACTTTTGGAAGCTTTACTTTTGGGAGTGCATAGACTTCAAACGAGTGATGCAATTAAACTAGATATGGTGTAAATAAGAGATTTATACTGCATTTTAGACAGCTTTATGGATTACCACGGAAGAACTGTCGGACAGTCGGTGAGCTCACACTGTGCTCAGATACATTAAACTATGTTAAATAGCAGTGACAGCTTCGTACATAATAATAAGATAAATTATGAATATTTAAAAATACACATTAAATGTATATTATATATATATAATTTATTAAAAATCAGAATAACAATTTTGTTTTTCTTGCCGCTGTGAAGGCCAATGCGAAGTTGGTCGTTTAGTCACTGTCTTGATGTACTGATGTATAAAACATGATAAAGTCATTGAGGAACAGTTTGTTTTGGACGTGTAACCTAGATAAATAGATATAGCCTGCAGGTTCCCAATGTAAAATGAGTGTTGTAATTTCAAAAAATTTTGACACAAACACTCTTCGTTCTTTTCAGTGTAAAAAAAGAAAGTTGGTAACGTACTTCATCTCGAGCACTTCCTCCAGATGTCGCCTCCTCTCTGCCCTCAGTGTGGTCAGATGAGCTTCTTTCTCAGCCAGAGACTGTTGGGTGGACGACATCTTGGCCTTCATGGACTCCAACTCCAGCTTCACCTTCTCCATCGCCCCAAGTAACTCTTCCATCTTTTAAGAAATCAACAAAAGGTTGAAACACTTTCATTATTGTTTTTTCTGGACTTCACAGACTGACTAAAGACAGCAGTCCCCGCTGTAACCGATGTTTGGGTAATTTTTTCGGCGAAATCCAGTAATTTCGATAGGAAACCATGCAGTTAGAAATGTCGCGTGAGGGCGATTCATATTTCAATTCAATTCACTGTTATTTTTATTGCGCTTTTAAAATACATATCGTTTCAAAGCACCTTTACAGAAAATGCATGTTTCTATATTACAATTTAGAGTTCTCCATTTTGACCAACAAAACGTTGCTTGGTTTGAAAGTGACTTCTTTGTGACTTTTTCGTTAATGTGACACCATGACCAAATGCAAAAAAAAACGTTAAACATTGACTGATCCTGAAACTGATCCTAAATGTTTTGATTTGAAAACAGCTAATCTCTACTAGAAAATCCTGGTGAATTTTTGGCGGTATTAAATGTTTTCTAGATGGTCTAGACTCTAGATGGTCCATAAGCTAGTGGGACAGAGTTTGAACTGGTTGAACATCTTGGTCACGCTTGTTAGTGCTGTTAGACTACATTAGACCAGCAAGAAACTGGCTACCATGTTCCAAAAAAATAGCTTGACCAACTTAACCTGGAATGAGCTGGTTTCTCCAATAAGGGAATACAGAATGTAGTAGTGTAAATCCCACTTTTGGTTTTCTTATCCTGATCAAATATTTTAGAGCTTGGCTTAACTTGAAATGCCCAAAAATTTATTAATAAACATGACTTTTCTAGGTTTTGAAATCACGCTTTAATAAAAGCTGGCTTCCTCATTGGAGAACACCCCTGCGTCACGACTCACGACTCAGTTATTTTGAGCCTCTTGTGTCAAGAGCTTTTTTAAGATGGCTAAAAAATAGTTTTAAAGAAATAGTCAACTAGTTATTCACATAACACATTTCCTGAGCATTTGTAATTTTGCTAGTTAGCATTGTGGTGTTGACCTGTTTCTCCTGGTGGGTTCGTGCGGCCTCCTCCTGCGCCAGAACCATCTCCCTCTCGGCAGTGATTTGAACGCTCTCTCTGAGAGCCTCCTCCAGCTCCTCGATGCGCTCTGCCTTCTGCCGCAGGGACTCCTGGGGTAGACAAGGCTCAGCTCATCATAAGCACACCAGCAGAGTTTCACAGTGTCGGAAATATACAGGGATCTGTCAAAGCTGTCATAACTATCCCACTGTACGTCTCACCTGCTGTGGGCCATCGTTGACATTTCTGCCCTTCCCTGGTGGCTCCTTGTGTTTGACAGAGGACTTCTTACTCTGCTCTTTCATTTGCCTGAAACATAAACATTAAGTGGTTGTGAGAGGAACTCTCTGGGGTTTAATAGTAAAATGAAGAGTTGAGTTTTGGGGCAGAGGGGTTTATAACACTATCTGGAGATCTAAAAAAGAGCTGGTTTATTCTCGATCAGTAAATATCACCAAGCCTGATCACATGTATAATGATTTCCTTATACTATTCATAAAGCTAAAACAGTGAGTATATGGAGGAGCAAAATACATTCCCTTTCTTTTTTTTGCACTTAAAACCCCATGAAATCACTTTATGGAGCACAACTTTCAGTGGGACATATTGAAGGGCTCATCATTTTATTTGAAAATAGGCAAAAGGCTCTATTTATGTCATCTATGAACTATGATTTGCTACTTTCTGGTTCATTTTAGAGATCATCTGACTGGAAATTAGGGATACATGATATATTTGTTACATATCGGTTATCAGACGTTTGTAAAAATTACAAATTTTGTAATCAGATATTAATGGGGTTTTTTTTCATGCTCATTTTCTTATTTTTATATTTAGATTAATCTTTAATCTCTAAAACTTTAATATTATAACTTTAAACTTTATTATTAATTTATTAACACTGTTAAATGTAAAAGTTATAATGTATTTAAGTTTATTTAGACAAAATAGAATTTATCGGTTATCAGTCATAACATGATTTGGAATGTTTAAAATGTTAATATTGGTGCATCCCCCCCCAAAAAAATGATCGGTAAATTTTAAATTCAATGTCTAAAAGCTATTTTTTGTCATTTAAAATGTTTAAGGGTTCACTAGCAGTTGACTAAAAACTACAAAATTCTATTTCATGAGGTCTTTAACAGGTTTAAACTGTAATTCTTGAGGACTTGGTCCATTTATGTGTGTGGAAGTACACATGTATCTACTAACCTGGAAGCCACACTAGGTACACATTTCCAGGTGAAAAAGTGAAAAAGAGGGAGACAAAAAGCAGAAGTTCAAAGGCCGTTTAGCGTGAGAAAAAAAAAAAACTTGATCAGTGCTTCAACACACAACTCAAAGAGGGGAAGGAAGCCCAGACAAAACATCAGCCTCGTCAAACGCAGACACGGAAAACGTTTTGACGGTGATGCTTAAACACGGCAGCAAAAAGGGACAAAGACGTAACATGTTTTGACTGCTACACCAATGACATTTAAAAAAAGAAGTGGGAGCAAGCCATGGTGAGCAGGGAAATGGACTGACCTCTCCAGTTCACTGATTTTCCTGTCCTTGTCGTTCTTCTCGTTCTCCATCTGACGCAGGATGTCTAATAAACGATCGACTTCAGCCTGGGCTTTGGCGGAGTCCTCTCTGTGTCTGGCCACATCAGTCTCGAGTGAAGAAATCCGCTCAGATATCTCCGTGTTGGCCTGTGCATTGGCTGCGGCACTCTGGACCTAATAAATGAATGTGATATAAACACATCCACAACTTACACAAACTCAAATATATAAGTCCATGCTTCCTCTCCCATTTGTTTGTCCTTTGTAGTTTACAATGGCTTCGTTTCAATTCTAGTGTTCCTATATTTTTTTACCAAAGTATTTCCATCCCTTTTCCAGTTGCTTGGTGAAATTTCATTTAAGTATATAATGTACCAATCTTTTGATAAACATATTTAAAGGGATAGTTCACCCGAAAATGAAAATCCTGTCATTATTTACTCACCCTCATGTCATTCCAAACCTTTATGCCTTCATTTCTGCTGCAGAACACAAAATAAGATATTTTGAAGTTGAAAACCAAACAGTTTCGGTTCCCATTGACTTCCATTGTTTGTTTTTTTTGTCCATACAATAGAAGTCAATGGGAAGTTGGTTTTCAACTAAACAAGGGTGAGAATTTTCATTTTGGGGTTGAAGCCCTTTAAATGTTAATATCCGTTTCTACAATTTTTCTCTACAATATCTAGCCAAATAAATATTTTACAGAAGAGCAAAAAAGTTGACTAAACTATTTTATTTTATTTTTAGTCATTTCCATGATCTTTTTAAGACTGATCCATGCCAGGAAATCACATTTGTAAACAGTATTCCATTTAAAGAACTTTTTACTAACATAATATTATTGTCTTTTAACAATCTTTTCTCGCTCACCTTCTTCAGTTGGTTTTCGAGTTTAGTGCATTCCTCCCTCCTCTGCTCGAGGGCGATCTCCAGGCTTTTCAGTTTGGAGTCTTTCTTCAGGCCAGATGAGGCCAGTGACGATGCATGCTCTTTGAGATCCAGCAGAGACGTCTGAAACCAAACTTAGCGTTGAGGTATACAAAGTGTACATCTTACAGTTTTAGTATACATGTATACTAATTATGTATACACAATTGTGACAAAACTTGTTTTAGAAAATATAAGTTTTATTTGTTGTTGTTTTTTGTGTTTGGATTTACTAGAGAGCAAAATTGCATGACATTAAAAAGTTTTTTTTTCTCAACCTCATTGGCCAATAATATTTTCTCACTTTAAGCAGTAGCTTCACTTTATTTGTTTTGTTTATAATCTATTTGCCAGTGGGGTAAAAAAAATAAACTTGTTTTCATAGAATATGTCTTGAAAAAAGTTTTAGCATCTTAAAGGGATAGTTCCCCCAAAAATGAAAATTCTGTCAGCATTTACTCACCCTCATGTTGTTCCAACCCCGTAAGACCTTCGTTCGTCTTCGGAATATAAATTAAGATATTTTTGATGAAATCTGAGAGCTGAATCACTCCTCCATAGACTTCTTCAGGGATTGAAACTTGTTCCCCGAAAAGTTATTAAAGACATCGTTAAAATAGTCCTAGTGACTACAGTGGCTCAATCGTAAGCTTATCAAGCGACGAGAACACTTTTTGCGTGCAAAAACAAAAATAACGACTTTATTCAACTACTCATTTCCTTCTCTGTGGGCCTCGAGTGAGTTTACTAGTGTAACAGCGTAAGCTTCTGTTGTTGTACGTCACACGCATCACACACATGACCAGCATCGGCCAATAGTTTGCCTACGTGTGACGTAGCTCTACGCTATCACACTACGTTAAGTCGTTAACTGACTAGAGGCCCACAGAGAAATAAAGTTGTTATTTTTGTTTATTTTTGTGCTCAAAATGTATTCCCATCGCTTCTCGATAAATTTAAGATTGAGCCACTGTAGTCAATTGAACTATTTTAACGATGTCTTTAATAACTTTTCGAGGCCGGCAAGTTTCAATCCCAAGTTAGAAGCCTATGCACTAGTGTGGAGGAGTGATCCAGCTCTCAGATTTCATCAAAAATATCTTAATTTGTTTTCCGAAGATGAACAAAAGGTCTTACGGGGTTTGAACAACATGAGGGTGAGTAAATACTGACAGAATTTTCATTTAATAAATTTTCATTTTTCAATTAATAAATTTAACCTAAAATATTTTTAAAAAGATAAATTACATTGTTTTTTGTGTGGTGTTTTGTGGCCAATTTAATTCTATGCATGTTGCATGTTATTCTACTACAGCAAAAAAAAGTCATAATCATGTAATGTGCTTTTAATGGCATTTCTTGTCCTCTTTCAGGACTGGTTGTTGATCTCTAACCTCTCGGTCTGACAGATCTCCCTGCAGAATGCTGACTTTCTCCTTTAACTCCCTCAGCTCTTTTTTACTGCTGTCCAGCTCCTCTGCTTTCTCGCGCTCCTCACGGTCACGTTGCTCCTTCAGACGCTCAATAATACGTTCCTGTTCAAAAGTGGACACATTAACACAGTGCCAAGAAGACAGCATATACAACGAACATGAAGTGTTTATAACTAAGCACAGATGTTCCGAATCCTGATTATATATTTGGACGTGCACCAACGATTTGTCCTGTAGTCTGGTGGAGTGTTGTAGCGTCCTCTAGAGGTGATCCTCACCTTCTCAGCCAGTGAGTCCTCCAGTGTAGTGAGGGCTGTGTCCGTATTGGACGTGTCTGTCTGTAGAGACTTCACCCTCTCTCTAAGGCTGCTCATCTGCTTCTCTTTATCCCTCAGCTGCTCCTGCAGGTTTTCAATCTGAAACACAGGAGTTTTATATACATCCACATTTTTACTGTAGTGAATTTTCACTGCATTTGAAGGAAAAGCTATTAGTTGAGCTAGTGGCACAGCTTACCCCAAAAGCATCTGACACACTTTACCCCACAGCTATTTGGGAAAAATACTTCATTGTACAACAATTCATGGTAAAAGTATTAAAAAATGTTCACTTACACATGTATTATACATGTTTTAGACCTGGATCATTTTTACATGAAATCAAAATATTTAGTTAACAATTTATTTTTTGTATTTTAATGTAAAAAATGCATGATGTGCTCATACAAACATCGTAATCTATTATTTGTTTATGCTAAAATACTATGAATACAGATATTGTTGTAATTAACCCTATATTAATTTACTATGGTTTTACAGTAGCAATAACTGTAATGCAATAAGAGTAGCAATAACTGTGCTATTTTGCAGGAAATTATTGTTAAATCATGGTATTTTGGAAATCTTTATCAGTATAATTAACAGTATAATTGTATATTAGGTTCTAGTAGATGTATTTTTGCAATGATTTTGTGACTTCAGTATGTTTTAGCATTTTTTTTTCTCATTTTTCTTTCAAATTTAAATCAGATTTTCTAGTGATCCTTAAAGCCGATAACCTATATATTGGCGGATAAATCTAAATCCAAATTTTTATATCATTTTTAAGAGCCTGATTGCAAAAACAAAAGTCTCACCATGTCCCGAGCACACAATGATAATGTTTTCATTATAATTTTATGAAGCCTATATGACGGACTTACCGTATTTTCCTTTTCAAAGTGATTTTAATCATATTTCAAGCTATTTAAAACCATCATGTGCGCATCTTAAGCGTCTCAGCTTAAGGAAAAAATCCATTATGTATCGGCTTTAATATATCATCTACATTTTCTTATTAAAAATGAACATATATCACCCGATACCGAATATGGTGGCCGATATATTGTGCATCCCTAGTCTTAATTGTTCATTAGTTTTGTATTTTTTAATCTTCGGCATGTACGACTTTTCTAACTTCAATATTTTTAAGCGTAGTGGATTGGTGACCCATTTCTGCAACACATGCAATAAGAGAACATTTCGTACATTGTTATCAATGGTTTGCAAAGTAAAATAAACGAAGACTCTTTGCAATGTCATTCAAGGAGAATGCTTGAATCTAGCCCTCACTTTTTTCTGAAGAACGTTGACTTTACGCTCCTTGACATCCAGCATGTCCTTCAGATCATGGATTTCTCCGTTGAGCGTGCTCTTTTCTTCAGACATTTCCTGGATTTGCTTACTCTTTTTGTTTAACGTGGTCTCCTTCTCCTCCAGACGCAACCTCAGAGCATCCACCTGCAAAACAGTTGTGCGCAGCGGTCAGAGAATCTGGTGGTGTGATGGGTGAAGACTAACCACTGGTGGGCTCTACTACCTCTGTCTGGAGAATAGCAGCACGTTGTTCTTTGGCAGTCAGGGACTCTTTGAGCACTTCAATATGCTGTTTGCTATCAGAGAACTGGTTAGTCAGGGTTTCCAGCTTGGTCTGCAAGCCGAGGAGCTGGGTGTCCTTCCTGGAAAGGTCTTGCTTCACTTGGTCCATCTACATAAAATAATTGTTCATCATTTGTTATTCATATGTGGACTAATCCTGATGTGCTCTTCTAAAGCAGAGCATGCAGTACCTTGTTCTTCATGAACTTGGTGTGGTTGCGGTAGACCTCCATCTGCTTGGCCTCCTCCTGCCGTTCTTCACAGCTGAGCATGCTACTGGATCGAAGCATCATGACCTGGTCCTCCAGCTCCCTGAGACCCCGCTCTAGAGAACTGATCTGAGACTCCTAAAACATGCGTCATAGGTTTGATGTCAATCAATAATGTCAACAATCACAAATAGGCCAAATTTGAATGTGAATATACTACAAAGGTTGCATGGTTTACTTTAATGCTACTTTATGTTGTACCATTTTTGGTCACCGTTTGTTTATATGAAACATACATGCTGCCAAACATCATATACAGACGAAAGAAAATCATTCAGGTCTGAAATCATTTAGGGTGAGTAAATAATGACAGAATTTTACTTTTTGCTGAACTACTTTTGTGAAAAAGTACTCTTATTGTGCTGAATGTGCACTAAAAAGTGTGTTTTTTTAAGAACTATATTTGCAGATAATATAGTATTAATGAAAAAAAGACTAATTAAGTGTACATAGGTTTCTTAAGAGTTTGTTTTGTGCAAGACAAAAATAAATTCAGTTCACAATTAAATATATTATTTCTCTTTTTAAAAGTATGATAAAGAGTACTTCCTTTTCTCAAGGGTTTTAAAGGAGTAGTTCACTTTTAAAAAAAACCTTTGCTGATAATTTACTCACCCCCATGTCATCCAAGATGTCCATGTCTTTCTTTCTTCAGTCGAAAAGAAATTAAGGTTTTTGATGAAAACATTCCAGCATTTTTCTCCATATAATTGACTTCAATGGGAACCAAACGGTTCAAGGTCCAAAAGACAGTTTCAGTGCAAACTGTTCAAAGGGCTTTAAATGATTCCAGACGATGAATAAGGGTCTTATCAAGCGAAACGATCGCTGATTTAATAAATAAATAACAAAGTTTACGTTTTTTAAGCTCAAACGCTCACCTTGCTCTGTTCTGTGACGCACGTTTGTGACTCTCCTGTTCGAACTCGTTCATCAAAATGAACGAATCTTTTTCCGAGTCAATTCGTTCGTTTTGTTCATTGAATGAACCAAATGACTCGGAAAAAGATTCTTTCATTTTGATAAACGAGTTTGAGCGAGCATTTGAGCTTATAAAACTTAAACTTTGTTATTTAAATGAGTGATTGTTTTGCTTGATAAGACCCTTATTCATCGTCTGGAATCGTTTAAAGCCCTTTGAACAGTTTGCACTGAAACTGTCTTTTGGACCTTGAACCGTTTGGTTCCCATTGAAGTCCATTATATGGACAAAATCCTGGAATGTTTTCATCAAAAACCTTAATTTCTTTTCGCCATCTTGGATGACATGGTGGTGAGTAAACTATCAGCAAAAGTTTTTTCAAAAGTAATAGTATAGTACAAAATATTGTTGGCAAAATATGGGCTTTTAACGCACTGATAGTCAAAAGAAAAATCTGGTTCCTGTCATCATACGTAAACAGATTAACACATTAATTAAAATAGGAGCTAAAGTACTACCTTCATCTCAATTACAGTCTGAAGAGCTTTGGTTTTCGTAGTCTCTGGCGTCCCCTCGAGGCGGCGATGCAGCTCCTGCAATTAAAGACACGGTTGGCACTTCCTTCACACCAGTGCCAGAAATAGAGCTCTCAGATATGTCATCATACCTTGAGGGAGAGCAGCACTGTTTAGTTTTGGCTGAATTTTCCATCACATTACAGGAGCTGTACTCTATTATAAGTACAAATAGGGTCTCGTCTCCTGCTATCTGGTTCTATTAAGTATCTACTTTTTCTAGTTCTATTAAGTATCCTACTTTTTTGTACTTTAAGGGAGAGTAGCTGCCATCATTATTTGACTGAATGTTGATTAATGGTGCATGAAGAGAGAATAGACTTTCTGCTTTATTTCCCTGTATTGCCTGAATCTTTTTTTGTAGCACATGTACAGTGAAAAAGTGCTTAACCTTCAGAAAATGATGGTTGCAACATCCAGATGTGATACTAAATATTGTACAAGCTGTTTTATTTGCTATTTATTTTTTTATGTGGATTGTAATTTTTGCAACCCTGTTTCCCAAGTTATCCAAACTATATTATGTCAAAATACAGTTAAAATTTATTAATTTTGTTAAAATAAGCATATAAACACATTATCTAAAAAAAAACAAAAAACATAACACTACTCCAAAGTTAGTATTGGTTGCAATATGCAAGCAAATAATTTAATAATTTTTCTTATAATAACTTGGCTAATAGGGTTGAGTGGCTGAGCTTGACGAATGCAGGCAAATAAAATCTGTGTATAATTCTAAAAAAAAATATAATATATATATATATATATATAGTTTTTTTGTAATGGGGAATTTTTTTGTAATGGGGAAAATCATCTAGTAACAGGATTGTGAGTAAAGAGCTAAACATTATTATTTAGAAATAGATATATAAAAGATTATATCAAAGTATCTTAGTCAAATGAAAGAAAAATAAATAAAATAATATGTTTTTAAACAATTACATTATTTTCCAATTACATATATACCAAATTCATTTTCTATTCATGTAAAGTGCAGTTTTTTAAATATTATTTTCATATTTTGTCATTTGTATTTTCAGACTCGAGTTCCTACACACCTCTCTCAAAGCCACTAGCTCTTTATCACGCTGTTCTAGAAGGTTCTCCAGGTGGTGTGCGTGCATCTCAGCATCTGCGAGGCGTCGTGTGCGCTCATGGTCCTCTTCACTGGCTTTAGCCGAGGGTCCCTTGCTGTGCAACATCTCCAGGAGCTTTTTGACTGAGTCATCACGAGCAGCTAGCGTCTGCCGCTGGGTCTCCATGCGAACCTCCATCTCCTCCAAGGTACGGCGGAGCAAGAACAGCTCTCGAGCCTGTCTCTCCTGCTCCTCGCTGGGCTCGCAGGCCAGCGGCTCCCCGGGGGGCTGGAGCAGCTGGTTCAAGTCGCGCTGGATACGCAGCTCGGCCTGCAGCGCCTGAACGGTTGTCTGCAGGTGCTGTGATGGACACGAGAATCATTTACTCAAAATTCGTTCAAAAATATTTCAAAACAGAAATAGTTTAAAAATTTGGGAACTGATTAGGGCTGTCAAACGATTAATCGTGATTAATCGCATCCAAAATAAAAGTTTGTGTTTACATAATACGTATGGGTGCACTGTGTATAATTATTTTATATATATAAATACACACACATGGTTGTATATATTTAAGAAATATTTTCATGCATATACTGTATATAGATTTATATATCATTTATATTATATATAAATATACTACATATTTTGTATATAAATAATATTTTTTTCTTAAATATACATGTACGTGTGTGTATTTATATATATATACAAAATAATTAAACACAGTGCACCCACATATATTATGTAAACACAAACTTTTATTTTGGATGCGATTAATCGCCCTAGAACTGATGTGAAGGAGAGTTAACAGCCAAGAAATCAAGGTTATCGGTTTCACATCATAGTTTATCAGCTATTATCCTATTATTTATAAAAGCATCCCACAGAAACCATCTCTTTATTCATCAGTGAATAATACAGTTCAATCTATTGTATCATCTTTCATACAAGCAGTAACATGAGTAATTACTGAGAACAGTTGGGATGTAAACATCTCATTTGTAACTACCACTGTCTACAACTTGAATTGGTAAAAACTGGTTGGTTACAACAACATCCAGATGAAAAATTGGTTACATCCATGTAGATGCAACTACTATGTTGAAAACTTGATGGCAGCCTAAAGGCAACTTATACACTTAATCATATACATAGACTTACCCTAATTAATGGTATGATCTCATTAAGACCAACAGGCACAAAACTAATAGCCAAGAATCACCCAATAACACATACGAAGACTCAGAGCTCTCTAATGATTCGTGTGTTAGTTTCAATCTCAAGCGAATGGTGTGAGGAGTGTGATAATGCTGATTATGCTAGTGAATAACCAAGGCAAGCTGTCATTAGCTTAGTGCTGTACGCCCCATCGTCTGGGAATCTGTCATGACAGCCATGTTGCAGTGAATCATGGTTTGAAGCTAATCATTCAAATAAGGGGAGTGTTTCAAACGCAACATAGATGGATGACTATGCCACTGTCACTGCTACCAAAACCCATCTCAGTGTACATTTAAAAAATGTACCACTGAATTTTCATTCTTAATTAGCTCAGATGTATTCCTCATCGAGCATATTGTGGCTTGCAGGAATCAGGCTGTGCAGTGAGCCGCACGCAGCAGGACCAGGATGGCCATTTCAGGATTGGCCATTAGCGTCACCTCACCGCGGAGGTAGACTTTCCCTTCTCGTTTGAAGATGAGCTGGATCTTTAATCACTCAATTCTCAGTCACTCGTATAAATCTATGAAAATGCTTTGATGCGATACAAATGTGTCTATAAATAGCTGGTCTTAACTAGTTTAAGCTGGTCAGTTCTACCTGACACATGCATTTCAGGGCAGCGTTTGGAAGGGAAAACTATTGCACTGATTACTGAATACTGAGGAGTATATACAGTATAAAGCTTGCTTTTTTAAAGATAGCATCCATTTTATGCGTGCTACGCTGTTGTCATGTGTCGTGTTCAAATCTCCAAATTTTGTATGTTTTTTTTTCCCTGTGAATTTACAGATATTACACTAGCACAGTGTGCTCTGTATAATGCATATTTTGGCAAATATAGAGGGTATTCAGTGCATACTAAAACATGCATACTATATGTATGTATGCTACAGAAATAGTATAGTGATAGTGTGTATGTGTGTGCTGAGATGTTGAATAAGTTGTATTCCAAGGTTGAAATTATTTTAGTTAATTAGTTTATACAGTTATTTTAGTATTATTTATATAATGTGTATATATGTAGTATTTATAAATATTTTTAAATTAGCTTTTACTTACTTTTTTTCATTTTGATTTTTGTCTTTTTGTTCTTTTTATTAGTTTTTATTTTTTATATTTCTATACAGCTTTATCTTTTTTTTTTACATTTCAGCTATTTTTTAGGTTAATGAAGTACATCACCCATGTACTCATAGTACAATACGCCACGCTGCATTTTTCACTCTAAAAAATGCTGGGTTGTTTCAACCCAAATTTAGGTCAAATATGGACAAACCCAAATTTAGGTTAAAAATGTAATTAAGAAATTCACAGTTGAAAGTGAAAGTTGAAGTTGGGTTAAAATTTAAATTACATTTTTAACCTAACCATATTTGACCCAAATTTGGGTTAAAACAACCCAGCATTGTTAACTTTAGAGTGTATGACCACAGTACTTGAACTACTTGTAAAATGGCAGAGAATAGTGAAGAATTATGCGAAATGGGTCGCACTTATCCAAAATCTATCAATGTAAATCTGTTCTCAAATAGAACTACACTTTTATAGATATACAGGGGTGTAACGATACCCTCATGCCACGATTCGATACATATCACAATACTGATACGATATTATTGCGATACTCTAAGACAAATAATAACAACATTCATGATTCTGAAGCTGAAAATACAGAATTATTTTAGACGAATATTCTTGCACTTTTTCTGACTATATTGGACACTTTTTACTGGTCAAGTTACTGTTAAGTCATTTGGCATTATCAGGACACACAAATATCCCCCCATTGAATTATTATACATTATAATCAGCAGTATATATAGTAGTGTAATGTAGTACTGACACTAAAACTTTTGTGAAAATTTTCTCTCACACAATAATTTTTAGTTTGGGGAACTATCCACGATACGTATCGTTGTATTTTCGTATTGCGATATATTGTGGTACGACATATTGTTACACCCCTAATATACAGTGCCTTTTAGTACTGATCTAGGATACTGATTTAAATCTAGATTCCTTTAACCAGATGCTTCAATCCAGAAAACAACTCTCCAATCAGCAAATAAACGATCACTTATACTTAAAAAAAACAAAAAAAACAAGCATATCCTGCCAGATGTACCCACCTGTGTCTCATCTTGCACTGCGCGGTACTGCTCCTTCCACACTACGATTTTGGACGCCTCGTCTTTGCGCAGCGCACGTTCCTTCTTCAGCTCCGGGCTCCAGAAGCTTTTGATGGAGCTCATGGACGAGCTGAGCTTGCTCTCCTTCACCTCGATCTCCTTCCGAAGGAGCTCGTTCTCCCTCAGCACCTCCTTGAGCTGGGCTTGGAGCTCCATGATGGTGTTGTCCCTCGCCTGACGTAGGGAGTGAGGAACAGTTGAAGCTGCATGGATCTCCCCTCCAAAGCCCATAGAGTCGGTCGACACTGCCGGCACCATGGCCATGTCAGGTGTGCTGCCTGTGACTGTTCCCCGGACCCCGTAGGGAATGCTGCCTCCAAAGCGTCCTGTCGCCACTCCGCTCTTAGGGAGGTCAGGGGAGGTGCCGATTGCGACCTCGTTGTCGCTCATGTACATCGGCCCTGACGTGGCGTACGCGGCATTGAGAGATTGAATGTTCTCCATGGACAACGTCTTGCCTCCAGAGCCGCCCGGGCCTCCACCGCTGCCCCCCATGCTGTTGGTGCGACGGTGGCCCATGCGAGGTGACCGAGGCAGTCGTGGTGACCGGCCCGAGTTGCCCTGGTTGTTTCTACCCCCGCCGTGATTACTGTCCATTTTGCTCACCGAGCGCGAACTTCCGTACATTTTGGTAAATTTAGCCACCAAAAAATTTTGTTTTTTTTAGGTAATGTGCTACTAGGCAGGCCAGGTCATCTTCATCTCATTAATGAGGAATGTGATCTGTCAAGGAAATGCTGGTCTTCAGTATCTTTCAAATGGAGCAAGTATGGTGGCCTGTAAAATGAAATAAAAAGGCAAACCCCTCAAAAGACACAAAATTGCATTACATAATTGTTACCTGTACCACAAAACAGATCACTTTGGGGCAAAAATGACCCAGACATTTCAAATGTGGGGGTAATCCTCCATTATTTTCAATTGCAATTGTATCTAGAGTTTGAAATTGATACTTCCATAAATTTCCATAAATTGCATTCTAGGCCTGATGGGTGTAATGCCTACAAAACCCAAACCCAAAGTGACCAGTAGCTGGCAATTATCTGTATTTTCTGTCTCAGAAGCTAGTTTTGCAGTGTTTTTTGATTAAAAACACTAAAATCACTGAGAGCTATAATCTAATAGTGTTTGTGTTTATTGTGTCATATCTTCTGCATTATTGATAGCTACTGATTTGCTTTATTATGTAGGCCTATTATATAGCTATAATTGTCTAGCAGTATATTCTAGCATGTTTAAAAAATGCCCTATAAAATGTACAAAAAAATCAATTCCAGACAGGAAATAAAGCTCCATTTTTTTACAGTGGTTTCAACAAACAACATAAGCTTTCCCCCACACCACTTCTACGTTAACATTACTATGTCGTTATTGTTATACTAATCTCAATAGAAATCTGAATCGTGCTATGGACAATTAATTCAAATAATTCACTGGCTAGCGATGTAATAATCCATCTCCCATTTACACACTGAATGAGTGAATCGAAGGAAAGGTGGGGTTTTAATGTAGTAGGCTCACACTCCAAGGTTATTAAACATTTAATGTTAACAGCTATACCAACAATATTATGGTATACTCAGCTAATGATTTATACCCTAAACGCATATTCGATGTCCATCGCTGTCGATTCAGTAATGTTGTGCTATTTAGGTGAAGAGGCTTCTCAGCCTTGACAAACCAACCAGAAGCGTCGGCATTTCCACACATCACGTCAACGAGACTTGCAAATGCGCAAAATTACAGACTACAATTCTAATACAATTTAGATTACGGATATACTAAACCTAATGTTCCGTAAAATCCGGTCTTGCAATCGCTCAGCCACAATCCTGGGCATCCTCCCTCAATGTCCTTCTTCTCCACCATTTGCCTCCTCTTTTGTTAGTAATAGCTGTCCGGCAAATGCGACAGTAAATGAGAGGCGCTATTTGAATATCAATATATGCATTAAATAACCGTAACCATATAAGTTACGAGCGTTCTCTATTTTATGATAAACCACAATAGAATTTTTTTTTCTCTCCAAAAATCTATTTACCTTCAATGGCTGGTCTATTTCATCCGATATGGAACGACCGTCTGTCCAAGAGATGTGTGATAGAGAGGAAGCGGCCTATTTTTCTTTGTATTGCTTTATGATTTTATTATTTGCAGACATACACCAGCATCTTCCCAGAGCTGGAGGACTTCAGTGACGTAACGCCTACGCTGCGCGCTCACAACACTCGCCTCTGAAATGCCAACGCCATGCTACGAAGGTCATTTTATAAAAAATAAAAATAATAAATAAATATTTATATATTTATAAGTAGCCTATATAAAATAAAATATGACATTCAATGGTCAATATTTACTGTAGTGTAGGTCTACATTTTCAGAACAATCAAATATTTAATAGCCTATGTATGTAGCCTATATATAGGCCCATTTGGAAATATTTTAAATATTTAAATTTTTTAACAAATATTTTTGATTTCTTTATTTTGTAATTTGGACAAACTATTTATGCACTTCATTTGAAAACATATAGTTCTTGTATATGGCATGATATTTGGCCTTTACATGTAGCCTATAATATTATCTTTGTGAATAGTCATCCTGCCTCAAACCATGTAAATTTCTAAGCTACACTTTATCACCTCCCAGTCAGTTTATAGATAGAGAGAACAGAGATAATCACCAGTTGGTGGGGTTTGATCCCTCTTAAAGGGACAGGTCCTACAAAATGGAAACTTTAGACAAAACATTGAAAAGTAAATAATTAAAAAAAAGATTTCATATATATTTTATGTTTTGTATCATATCAGGCGCTTTGCCCTGCAACATTGCCCAAAAAGTTGCCCTGTGTATCATCACCTTAAAGATGTTGTTTATGCAATACAATCACAATTGAGCCGATCAAAAGCCTGTTGTTTCATATTTGATATGTATTTTTTTTATTTATATAAAATTTATATTTTTTCATTTATATAAAAAAATAGTAATATGGATAATCAAGTATCATTGATGGTAAGGCAAGGCAAGACAACGATTGTGTACAAAAGGTATTTCAGTAGACTTGATAAAATTGATCATTCAGAAGCTTTAGAAATGTAATGTATCAAATATCATTTAAGCTTCATTCATAGGATTAAAAAATGTTTTAAAATGTTTTTTTTTATCTTGAGACCTTTATTGACACTATATTGCTGATGATATTCTTTTGTTTCAGTTTAATAATAAAATGCATTATTTCTTTTCTGTAATTTTTTATTGTAATATTGTTGATTCTTTATTTTATTCTATTTTCTATAGCAATCTGATTTTTTTTCTACACTAATATGCTTAAAATGCATGTAATTTTGTTTGTCTAATATTGTTGATTCTTTATTTTATTCGATTTTCTATAGCAATATGAATAATTTTTTATCTGGAACCTTTGATATCTTTGAAGGTTTGCTATGGTGTGTTTTAGGCGTGTCAAAGTGAATCGCTCTGTCCTTTAAATCCAAAGATTTTTTTTTTTTTTTTTTTTTTTTTTTAGCAATTACATTAGTTAAGATAAAGTGACAAATGTTTGATCTTTACCATTATTCTCTTAACAGACATTTACATCGAAGTCTGGTGTTATAATTTATTTGCTTTTGGTGTACTGTGAAGTGGGTAAAACTGTTTTTAATGGCAGGCTAGCAGTTACCACTGACTCGCTCTAGCCTAGCACCGGCGAACTATGCAACTGGAATGAAATTTTTTTATCAGTCTC